GAGAGAATTTCTCTGGAAGGGTTTGTCTGGGAATTTATCTGGTTTTGAGATAATTTCTCTAGGTTGGGGAGTCCAGAGAAGTTCTGGAAAAAATTCCTTTGGATTTTGTATTAGTGGTTGCGTGTTTGGTTGTGGAGAAAATGTGTGAAATAAGAAGAAACTTAAAATTTGAATATTATTAGGTTGAAAGTCTGTAATGAAGATGGTGAAGAAGATGAAGTGGGTCTGAGAGATGAGTAGAGAGCTGCCATTGGAAATCACAGAAAATGGAATTTCTCTGATTTTGAAGAGAATTTCTTTGGTTTTGAGAGAATTTCTCTGGGTTTGGGAGAATTTCTTTGGAAAGTTCAAGAATTTCTCTAGAGAGAATTTCTTTATGAAGTCCAGAGAATTTCTCTGGATCCAATTTTCTCTAGATCAATTTGAGGGACCTTAGATATTATGAAAATATTGGATATCCTTTATGCTATAAAATCTTATTATTAGGGACCCTAAAAAAATCCCCATGATTTAATTTGTTCAATAAATTATATGCTTTAATGAAATAAAATTTTTCTTCTTCACTTGTTGATTTTTAACTAAAACAAATTATAATTAAATTTCAATGTGTTTGGTTGGATTCAATTTATGATTTGTTAAGATCAGATATAGATTAAGTTTTGATAGATTTCATAAATTTTTTAATTCTAAAATGAAAAATAATTTTTTTGAAAATTAATAAAATGAACTTTCATGTATTATCATCCAAGTTTTGCCACCAACTTATGGGAAGAGAAAAATGAAGAATTAATAAGCATGAAGAATATAAATATTATGTATGTGGTGATGAATTCCATTGTCCTAGTGTTTTAGTTGTGGGTTAATAACTTTATTATGTATGTGGTGATGAATTCCATTGTCCTAGTGTTTTAGTTGTGGGTTAATAACTTTATAATATTTGCAATGTAGTTTTTTAGCAATATCAAAATTTAAAAATTTTGTTAAATAGATTCGGTAATTTAATTTTAAATTAATTAATTTTTTAAATCCAGCTCCATTGGATTAAGTCCATTGGTTTTGACAATCTTCTCTTTTTTTTTTTCTTTTTTTTTTAAATATTTTTTTTTACCGTATCTATGGTTGAATAGAGTTGTGCCCTTGCAAGTACTTAAAGTAAATACATCAAATTATTCTTGGCGAGATGCTTAAATAATATTTAAATCTAAATGTTGTAGGATTAGGCCATGCGTTGTAGCTTTTAAGTTTTAATAATCACAATTTTTTTTTTTCTTTTTCAATGGGTAAGAAAAAATTTGCACAAGAAAAGCTAAGTGCTTTAGATTTATGCTTAGAATTTTACCTATAAAGATAAATGTGACATACAGATTCAAATTATATAAGAAAATTCAACAATATATATCTAGAAGTATGTGACAAATTTAACAACTAATTACAATGTCTTCTCCTATGAGAGTCGAATTCATAAAATTAACCACTGAAATAGATAATAATAATAATGCCAATTGAATCACACTGAATCACACGAGTATTGATTGGGTTTGAATAATCACAACAGTGACTTCAATTTGAACATTTAGTTACTATTTTCTTGCCCTCTAAGCACGATAGATTAAGATTGAGAAGTAATTGAAAGTTTGGTTGGCCTCAAAAACATTTGTCCATTGTATGTATATCCATCCACATCTACATAGACATTGACAATTACTAGGCAGCATTTATTATTCATCTTTCTATGCAAATCTTTCTTAAAATGTCTATCATATGAGAAAACGAATTGTAAATAAGACAACTAAAGTCAAGTCCTCATATTGGACAAGTGTATTTCGTCAAGATTCCTTCCCCTTTTTCCATGAAAAAAGGAAAAGAATAATTTGCCGAGAGAGAAAGGAAAAGAAAAAGGAAAGAAAAAGAAAAAAAAAGATATTTCATTTACTATTTTTTTCTTTTATTGTTTATTAGTCTTTGCAAAATCATAATTTTAACATCACAACAGTGCCTGTCACATGAGAAAATGAATTGTAAATAGGATAATTAAAGTCAAGTTTTCGTATTGGACAAGTGTATTTCATTAAGATTTCTTCACCTCTTCCAAATATATATATAAAAGAAAAGGAAAAAAGTCCTTCCCTTTTATGCATGGTAAGGAAACATTTGCCATAAACAATTACACGCTTAAGTGAGAAAAAAAAATTATTTAAATTTTATTATTCGTTATTTTTCTCTATAAATCATGCTTAAAATTTATAATTTCAATGATAACACAGTGCCTATCACATCAAAAAATGAATAACAAATAAGACAACTTAAGTCAAGTCTTCATATTGAAAAAGCGCATTTCATTAAGATTCCTTCCCTTTTTTCCATTAAAAAAAAGAAGAAAAGAAAATTTGCAAGAGAGAAAAAAAAGTAAAAAAAAAATATAACTCATTTACTATTTTTTTCCCTTCTTTCTATTACTTGTTCTTCTTCAGATAATCCCTCTTAAAATTCATAATTTTAACACCGCCATAATGCCTTTAGCAGGAGAAAATGAATTGTAAATAGGGTAACTAATCAAGTTTTCGTATTAGACAAGTATTTCATTGAAAATGAGAAATTTGCCAGAGGAAGGAAAAGAAAAGAAAAAGTGAAAAAAAAATTATATTTCATTTACTTATTTTTCTTTTATTATTTATTCTTCCTTGCAAAAGCTTTCTTAAAATTTATAATTTTAATATTATCACAGTGCCTATCACATGAGAAAATAAATTATAAATAGGACAATTAAAATCAAGACGTTATATTAGACAAATTCGTTAGCCACTATGGATGGTAAAGGAAACATTTGTGGCAAACAATTATATATGGTTACATAGTCCATTTCCACTATTTTTCACACATTTATTATATATATGTGTTGGAATTTGCAAATTGTTCTCAACTGATGTGGCTTTGAAGTCCATTCCAACTAGTGAACAGAAGTCTTTAACCATTACACGGTGTTTGGTCGAGGGATTTGAGGAGAGATTTGGAAAGGGAAAGGGAAAATGTTTGTAAGTAAAGAGACAAGGTGTGTGAAATTAAGTAAAATGTAGGTATATTTTATTCACATTTTACCAACATTTTCTATTTCCTTTTTCCAAATCCTTCTCAAATCCCCCAACCAAACACAACATTAGTGATCCTAAAATTGGGAATTAAAAATAAAACTTGAACAAGAACCGTGGGAAGTTCCTATTGAAGATAGAACATATTGAAGATAAAATTTTCTCATGTGTGGTGGCATAATTTGTAATTTGATCTTATTTTTGTTGGAAATGGTTTGGAAAATTTGGGTAAAAAAAAAATAGATTTTTTCCGAATTTTGGTCAATTATTTAGGTGGGACCCGTACGCCAAAGTTGGCGAGTCAAAGTGGTAATGCATTCTATGCCGCGTTGTAATTCACGTGGTATATTTGGTTGCTCAAAATCATTACCGAATAAATGGAAAATTGAAGCCAAAATATGCTCCATGAAAATGGAGTTTTGGTGGAAAATCCTTAAATGTTGAAAAATGGCTTGTTCCACATTGATTTGGTGAGAAGTTTTTAATGGGTTTATAAGGCTTAGGATTGGAACTTGGGGTGTGCCCCGAGGGGTACCCAAGTTTTGTAGAGAGGGAGGTTATGGGCAAAAAAGGCTTGACCCATTGGACCCAAAAATCACCATACGGGCGCCGTCTGTCCATCCGGTTGGGCGAGCTGAGCTTTGGCGCGGGTGTGTGGTTGGGTTTGTTTGGCCTAATACCTATCTTTTTGGGCAAAAAACATTTGAATTCCATTTTCTAATTTTTCCAATTTGATTTTCGGAATTTAAATTCAAAATCTGGTCCGGTTTTCTCCCACCCGAACAGAATTGACTATTTAAAATTCAAATAACCCGGACAGATTCAAATCTGGGTTATTCGGTTTTTTATTTGTTCAAATTTGAACCTAATTAGTTTTAATTCAAAACCCAACAGGTACTGTACCTGTTCAAACAGGTTGTTTGGAAAAATCTGGGTATATAACAGAATTTTTCCTAACTTTGGTCTATTATTTAGGTGGGACTCGTGCGTCGTTTTTCGCGGGTCAAAGTGGTAACGCGTTCTATGCCACGTTGTGACTTACGTGGTATATTTGGTTGCTCAAAACCATTACCGAGTGAATGGGAAATTGAAGCCAAAGTATGCTCCATGGAAATGGAGTTTTGGTGAAAAATCCTTAAATGTTGAAAAGTGGCTTGTCCCACATTAATTTGGTGGAAAGTTTTGAGTGGGTTTATAAGGCATGGGATTGGAACTTGGGGTGTGCCCCTAGGGGTACCCAAGTGTTTTAGAGAGGGAGGTTATAGGCAAAATGGGCTAGACCCATTGGACCCAAAAATCACCATGCGCCGCCGCCGCCGTCCGTCCGGTCGAGCTGGCTGGGCTCGGCGCGGATGCATGGTGTGAGGTTAGGCTTGTTCGGCCCAATACTAATCTTTTTGGGCCAAAAATATTTGAATTTAATTTTTATTTTTTGAAATAAAATTTGTCCAAAAATTCATTCTGAATTTCTGTCCATATTTAAATTTTAAATTCAAATTGTTGCACCTCTTCACAGACAGATCCGAGTCTGTCCAAACCGAATTTGTTCTGTTCAAATTCAAATCAAAACAAGCTTTTGAATTGAAATTCAAACCAAACACTGCCTATCTGTTTAATTTAAATTGAACAGGTATTGTACCTGTTTAATTCAAAATTAGCAGCCACCAAGCCACCACTTCATCTCTATAAATAGACTAGTCCCTCATTTGGTTCAAATACTAATTTTCGTCCATAAAATTCTGCATTCATACTCTTCATTTTGCTGCATTATTTTCTTGTGAGAGAGAGTATAAAACACTTAGTGTGTTCGTTGTACAAATATATTGTAGTGCTGCATATATTTGTTGTTGATCATTTCATCATGGGTGATAGACGTCCATATTCTGAAAGCACCGTGGAGAGGACGAATCTATCTTAAGAACACAGTGTCAAACACTGGACTTGATCAGAATAATATTCAAGATTTTAATCAAGTAAGTTATTTATTTATTTTCTTTTTTTATTATTTATTTAAATCAGATTTTAATTTTGTTTTTGTAACAAAATAAAATCTATTTTTATTTATTTAATTCTTTTTCTAGTTTGATTTTTGTAATCAAACATTCATTCTCCTTCCCTTTATTTCTTTGATATTCTGTTTATTGTTAAATACACAAACAGAATTAATTAATTACAGTGAAGATTGTCCAACAATTTCAATTACCAGAATTATGGATGTTGTGATAAGATTTAAAAAACTAAAACTAGAAATAAATATATTCGTAAAATGGCAAGAGTAGCACATATTAAAAAAATAATAATAACTGAGAGAATAAGTTAAGATGAATTGGTCATATATAACAAAGACTAACTGATATTATGGTAAGAAAGAGTGACACAATCACTATAAATGGAGATGTTAGTGGAGGGGAAAAAAAAATATTTATTTAATTTAACTGAATATATAACTATTGATAAAATAAAATGACAAAAAAAATTGATATAGTCGATCTTACTTAATTAAGACACAACACTTGATTTTTGATTTAATTTAATATGGTGAATGAAATTAGATAAATGCCATGGCACATGTAAGTTTTTACCAACTTCATTTATCGTCTCACATGGTAGACCGTTAAAAACAGCTATCTCAAGTTTACATCAGCACATTCTCACATCATACCCATTTATTTTCCTAAATGGTTTGACATTCATCTAAAAAATTTATATTTTTTAATTTTTTTGTTTGTTTTTGTTTTCAATGATATATTTTTTAAAAATTATGTTAAAATTCTTTTGAGGTCCGTCTAGTGCACAAGGATTTTATTGGCGTTACATTTAAACCATCCAATGCAAAGGTGACACATGGCAAGCAAGGGGTGCTGGATACATCAAGATAATGAAAAGTCTCACGTTCGAAGGCGCTCATGTGAGCTGCGAATGCAAGTTTTCAGCCAATGGAGATGCTAAACAACACGTGAATGGCACATGGAGAGGAAGTTAACAAAGAAGCGGTTATTAGCAGTTACACACGCACAAAGAGGAGTTCATAGCCCCAAGGAGTAGCAAAGGAGAAGGAGATCATGGTGGAAGATAACAACCTAACTGCTTCGAATATGCAAAGAAGTGACTATAAATAGATGAAAGCAAAGACTGCAAAGGCCCCTGACCAAATCCAGACTCAACGTCTTTGTCAATTTTATTTATCTTTAAATTTCTGCACTTTACTTTCTTGCACTCTACTTTCATGCACTGCACTTATTTTTCGTAGGAGTAGATTAGTCTTGTAATTTTAGAACTCGGTTGGTCTAAGGTTTCAAAGTTGCTCTTACTAAAGGTAACATATTGTAATCATTTATTCAGTTAATCAATTACAATTTTCTGCCCAGTGTCTCTCTCTCTCTCTCTCTCTCTCTCTCTCTCTCTCTCTCTCTCTCTCTCTCTCTCTGCCATTCTGTTACGAATTTAAACTACAAGCTTTGGTGAGATCGTGCCCTTGCAAGTACTTAAAATAAATACATCAAATTGGTCTTGGCAAGATGCTTAAAAAAAGTTTAAATTTAAATTTAAATTTAAATGTTGTGTGATTAGGCCATGCGTTGAAGCTTTTAAGAGTTTTAAAAATCACAATTTTTTTTTCTTCCTTTTTTCAATGGGTATGAAATAATTTGCACAAGAAAAGCTAAGTGCCTGAGATTTATGCTTAGAATTTTACCAATAAAGATAAACGTGACATACAAATTCAAATTATATAAGAAAATTCAACCATTCATATCTAGATGTATGTGACAAATTTGACCACTAATTACAATGTTTTTGTTATGCAAGAACTTGATTTCAATCACACAATAAACAATAATAAGAACAGGCACACACACAAACACAAAATATACATGGTTTGGCAAAATGTCTACATTCACGGCGGAGAAACGATCAAAATCCACTATATGCAATAAGGATTACAAAACATTCAACAACTCTCTCTATTTTTCTATAACCCTAAAATGTATACACTGATACAATATATGGGGTGAAAATAATAAGGGCCGAAATTAACATTGCATACCCATAATGCAAGGGGCCCGCTCCCTGACCCCGAGCTAAAGGCATAGTGAATACAAGACATCTCACAACAGTGTTCTCCAATGAGAGTCAAATTCATAAAATTAACCACGGAAATAGATAAAAATAGTGCCAATTGAATCTCACTGAACCACATGAGTATACATTGGGTTTGAATAATCACATCAGTCACTTCAATTTGAACATTTAGTTACTATTTTCTTGCCCTCTGAGCACGGCAGATTAAGATTGAGAAGTAATTGAAAGTTTGGTATGCCTAAAAAATATTTGTCAATTGTATATCCATCCATATCTACGTAGACATAGACAATTACTAGGCAGCATTTATTATTTATCTTTCTATTTATAATTTTAACACCATTACAGTGCCTATCACATAAGAAAAAAAAATAAGACAACTAAAGTTAAGTTCTCATATTGGACAAGTGTATTTCGTTAAGATTTCTTCCCATTTTTTCATGAAAAAAGGAGAAGAAAAATTTGCTGAGAGAGAAAGGAAAAGAAAAGAAAAAGTGAAAAAAAAAAATATTTCATTTACTATTTTTTTCTATTATTATTTATTATTCTTTGCAAAATTCCTCTTAAAAATCATAATTTTAACACCACAACAGTGCCTATCACATGAGAAAACAAATTATAAATAGGACAAGTAAAGTCAAGTCTTCGTATTGGACATGTGTATTTCATTAAAGATTCTTTCACCTCTTCCAAATAAATATATATATGAAAAGAGAAAAAAAAAAAAAAGTCCTCTTTTATGCATGGTAAAGGAAACATTTGTCATAAACAATTACATGCTTAAGTGGAAAAAAAATATACATATTTCATTTATTTTTTATTTAGTTATTTTTCTCTATAAATTATGCTTAAAATTCATAATTTTAATAACAACACAGTGCCTATCACACAAAAAAACGAATAGCAAATAGGACAACTTAAATCAAGTCTTCATATTGGGAAAGTGCATTTCATTACGATTCCTTCCCCTTTTCCCATAAATAAATAAATAAGAAGAGAGAAAATATTTGCAAGAGAGAAAAACAAGTATATAAAAAAAAAAAATTATTATATGTCAATGGTTTAATTCTTGCTCTGGCAAGATTTCCACTCCCTTAAGCGATACCATTGTACCCAAAGATTTTACATATACAATTTTAAAAAAAATTCCTTTTAAAAGATATTAAAGTATGGGAAAGCTCTTTTGAAATTGTTCATGACTGCTAATCCTAGAGTAGGATAATTCCAATGATAATCAGAATTGATCATCAAAATTTAATATGATTAAAAGTTATTAGAAGTTGGGAAATCTCTATTGAAATTGTTCATGATTGCTAGTCCAAAGTAGGATAATCCCAATAATAATCAGAATTAACCATCCAAATAAACGGAGCCTTAGTGACATTTTTTTAAAATTATGTCAAATTTTTTACTTTTTTAGTCTGTTTTGTGTAAACGAATAAAAAAAGTAAAGAAAATTGAAAAATTTAAAAAAAAAAAAAAAAAAGAAGTCAAAACGCTAGTTTTTTTTTTTTGGTTGTCTTTTTCAAATTTTTTTTGAATTCTTTTTAGATTTTTTTTATTTGCATGTTCGTCTTGTTGAGTATAATCTAAAATTTTAAAATGTATTTTTTTAAATAAAAAAAAATCAGTAAAGATGAAAAATACCAACAAAAAAATTACTAAAAAAGCAAACTATTTTTTTAAACATTTATTATTGGACAAGGATTATTTATTTATTTATTTATTTACTTCGCTAAAAAACATCATCAAAATTTCTTATCATATATATATTGAGAAAATCATAAACCAGTCTATTTAATAATAATAAACTGGTTGTGATTTGAAAATTATGTATCAATGTGTTGTTTAAATCATCAACGGAATGATTATGAAATTTTCCTATTGTCATTTTGATTGTCAAAATCATTTTATCAATTTCATCAATAATATAATAAATGATATAAAGTTATGTTTTACTTTCTTTTTCTTTTTTCATTTTTATTTTTTTATCATTGATGTTTAGGATTCAAAGTTGCAGCTAAAAAAAAAAAGGGTCTCCAGTATTCAAAGTATTAAAAATAAACTATTAGAGTCCAAAATTACATGAAATTCATATTTTAGAAACTACAGATATATTTCACTATCATTTTTTTTATTTAGACGATCTGTTTAAAATTGAATCAATTCAACTCCACTCAAAGTAAATACTTCAATGATAAAATTAAAAATTTGAAAAATAAAAGTAACACGAAATGCATATTTGAAGAAATGTATTTTATCCTAATTAACAATACGGTGAAAGACGCAAATGAAACCAATGGAGGACCAAACGTGGGGAGGGTCGTTGATCCAAATGACATGGTGCTTATGTCGTATTATTTGTTACCAAAGTGATGGTCCAAAGACATCTCTTTAATATGGATCGATCTGGCATGATCTTATTGGTCATCACTTTACCAAAAATGAACCTATACAGACCAAAACTATTGAAAGGAATTGCACTAGAATTTTTAAACCCAACTAATAATTTTCCAAGTTGTATTATCTATAAATACCTCTCCATGCTTTTGCAGCTCTTCATCCCTCCATCCTATTACTGTCTTTCATAGCTTTCTATTCTACTAATAACAAACAAGCCTACAATGACATTCTTGCCCAATACACTTCCCAACCACTTTCTTTCTTTCCCACCCTTTTTACTCTGCCTCATTATCCTTGCATTCCCCACTTTTTTTGATTATGCTGCTTTTGCTTCTTCCTTAACTACTGGAAAACAACCAAGTGAAGCCACGGCTCTCTTGACGTGGAAAGCTAGCCTTCACAACCAAACTCAAGCTCTCCTGTCCTCCTGGGTTGGAAGCAACCATTGCACTTGGCTTGGAATTGGTTGCAACAAGGCCGGTAGAGTTGCCCATATAGAGCTTGAGGGTTATGGTTTGAAAGGTACTATTTCCAATCTTAATTTATCATCCTTTCCTCATCTCCTCACCCTTGATCTTTTTAACAACTCACTTTATGGGACCATCCCCCCCCATATTGGTAGCCTTTGGAGACTCACCTACCTTATCTTGTCACTTAACAATCTCTCTGGAACAATTCCGACCGAAATAGGCCAACTAACTAATCTAAGGGGCTTGTCCATGTATGGAAACCAAATCGGTGGCTCCATTCCTCAACAAATAGGATTGCTCAGCTCTCTCAATATTCTCAACTTGTATACTAACAATCTCACGTGTTCAATCCCTTCTTCAATTGGAAACTTGGGCAACTTAACCATATTGTACCTTTATGACAACCGACTTTCCGGATCAATCCCTCAAGAAATTGGGATGCTGAGGTCTCTTGTTGATCTCGAACTCTCAAGGAACAAGCTCACAGGTTCAATCCCTGCATCTATAGGGAACTTGAGCAACTTAATCACTCTGTACCTTCATCACAACCAACTTTCCGGATCAATCCCTCAAGAAATTGGGATGCTGAGGTCTCTCATTGATCTCGCACTCACAATGAACAACCTCACTAGTTCAATCCCTGCATCTATAGGAAACTTAGGCATGTTAACCACTTTGAAGCTTGCTGAAAATATGCTTTCAGGACTCATTCCTTCGACAATTGGAAACTTGACAAAGTTGAATGCATTAGACTTAAGTCTAAATTCATTATCAGGCCCCATTCCGTCAGAGATAGGAAATTTAAAACAACTTGGTTATTTGATTGTCATTTATAACCAACTCACTGGCTCTATTCCTCAAAGATTGAACGATCTTACACATTTGAAATGGTTTCAGATAGCTTACAACAAGCTCGCTGGTCATTTACCAGAAAACCTATGCTTTAGTGGATCACTTACAAGTTTAGCTGTACAAAATAATAATCTCACAGGTCCCATCCCTAAAAGCCTGAAAAATTGCTCTAGCTTATACAGAGTTAGGCTTGAGGGAAACCAACTTTCGGGAAATATATCAGAAGATTTTGGCATATACCCAAGCTTGGATTACATTGATTTGAGTCATAACAATTTTTATGGTGAGCTATCTAAAAACTGGGGAAAATGCCACAATTTAACTAGTCTCAAAATGTCTAACAATAAAATTTCTGGTAAGATACCATCTGAATTAGTAGGGGCAACTCAGCTATCCGTTCTTGATCTCTCTTCAAATCATCTCATTGGGGAGATCCCATTGAAATTGGGAAGGTTGGTTTCACTATTCAAGCTTAAGCTGGATGATAACTATCTATTGGGCAATATTCCTCCAGAATTAAGTAAGTTGTCCAATTTAGAGAACTTTAACTTGGCAGCAAATGATCTTAGTGGCTCAATCCCTAGAGAACTTGGAGACTACTTAAAACTATTGAACTTAAATTTGAGCAATAATAGATTTGGGGAAAGCATTCCTATTGAAATAGGCCAGATCAATACTCTTCAAAGTCTTGATCTTGGTAATAACTTGCTAATTGGTAAGATACCACAACAGATTGGCAAATTGCAAAGATTAGAAACATTGAATCTCTCCCACAATGAGTTCTTTGGTTCTATACCATCATCTTTCAATAAAATGGTAAGTCTTACTTCCGTTGATGTGTCATACAATCAGTTAGAGGGTCCTCTTCCTGACATCAAGGCCTTCCAAGAGGCTCCATTCGAGGCACTCAAAGGTAATAAAGGTTTATGTGGTAATGCTACTGGTCTGAAGGCTTGCTTGACAAAATTGAACAATGGGGATGTTGAAAAAAAGGGCAAGAAAGTTATGTTACTAACTGTACTTCTTGTTTTTGGAATTTTGTTTCTTTTGCTAATAGTTCTTGGCATTTTCATGGCTTTTCATAAGAAAGTGAGGAACACAAAAAACGAGCCATCAAGAGTAAACCATGATAATGCTTTTGCAATATGGAGCTATGATGGAAAAGTGGTCTATGAAAATATCATTGAAGTCAGTGAGAACTTCAGTGCCAAATATTGTGTTGGAGAGGGAGGATATGGTGCCGTTTATAGAGCTGACCTACCAAATGGTCAAGTAGTTGCTGTGAAGAAACTTCATGCAGCACTTGATGGTGACTGGGCTAATCTAAAAGGGTTTACAAGTGAGATCCGTGCATTAACTGAGATTCGGCATCACAACATTGTAAAGCTGTACGGTTATTGTTCACACCCAAGGCACTCATTTTTGGTTTATGAGTTCTTGGAAGGGGGAAGCTTGGGACAGGTGCTGAGTATGGACGATGATGTAGTAGTCTTTGATTGGATTAAGAGAGTGAACACTGTTAAAGGTGTGCAAATGCTCTGTCTTATATGCACCATGATTGTTTTCAACCAATCATCCATCGAGACATATCAAGCAAGAATGTTTTGTTTGATTTGGAGTATGTGGCTCACATCTCTGATTTTGGCACAGCTAGATTTATGAATCTCAACTCATCCAATTGGACTTCCTTTGTTGGGACCTTTGGTTATGCTGCTCCTGGTATATATTTTTCTATTACAATGATTTATTTCCAATTAAATTACCCATGTAGTGTTTGTTCATTTTAACTTACTAATGATGACAAATTGCTAGATTTAAGCTTGTTATTCCACTTTTTCTAATATGCATACCCTTAAATTCTCATGTATGATGAACATAGCTACTGAAAAGCCATTTTAGAAGAAAAATATTCATTGAAGTAAATAGTGTTGCAGATTGGTTAAGCCTATTGTGGCTTTAGATAGGTCGGGTACTTTGTATATATATATTCAAGTTTGTTAGTGTTGATTCTTTTTTGGGCCAAATTACACTGTATCCCTATAGTTTACACCATTTATTACTTTGCCCCTTGACTTTTAAATTATTTTAGTCAGCCCCTAGACTTCAAGTCGAGTTTCAATTGGGCCTAAGCATATAACATTGTCTTAAAATGAGATTTTGGTAAAAATACAAGTTGATAAGGAATAAAGTGAGATTTTGATAAAAGTGCAAGCGTGCTAATTGTAATTAATTCTATCATTATCACATGACTATTCTTTGTTAGTTTTTGAAACAAGGTTATACAAATAGGCCCACTTCCAATTTGAACTCAAGTCTGGAGGGGTTAACTAAAACAATTAAAAGGTCAAAACGTAAAGTGGGATTAGATGTAAAGTATAAGGATGTAAAGTGTAATTTACCCATTCTTTTGCATGAATATTTTTTTTCTTCTATTGCTTGAGAGGTAAGGCTCATTACCCCACTCGATTTTAGTTTAAGATTATTAATAAATTTCTCCTTATGTCAAGGTTTACCAAAAGTAAAAAAATAAAAACTCTTTTTTTGCAAGACCGTGAATATTTTCTCTTTGTTTAACGTTCCATTCAAGAAAATGATTATTTCAGCCGAATCCGTGTGTTTCCTTTATTTTAGTACTTATGGTTTTAGTTGAGACTTTGGCCCGCTCTAATGACCTACCACTTGTGCAGCGATGGATCGAGGGGGCTAGCAGGGTGACTACCACCCAAAATTTTGAAATAACTTCTAAATATAGTGGTATTTAGTTATCAATATTTATAATTATATAGGCTCACCCCTCCAAGATTTTATTGATTTTCTTTAAACAAAATTTGCAGTTTTAAGTTTCAATCGTTACTCTTCAACTCTAGGTTTTCTTCTTCTCTTTACCTCTTATTCTTCTTGTTGTTTCGGTTCTCCTCTTCTCTTCTTGTTCTTCTTTTTCCTCAATTTTTCCTCTATCTGTTTTGTTATTTCAATTCTGCCTGGAACTCAATTCCATTTTCACTTTTTTCTTCTCTTCTCCATCTCTAGTTTAAAACAACTTATCTTTCTATTCTTTCTCTTTTCTTATTTCTCTATTTAACTTATGTCTTTCTCTCTTCTTCTTCTTTGAGATCTTAATACATTTGTGGAAGTACGTAGTCACCACAAAGAGATCACATTGCCATGAGCATTTTTTAAGTTGACATTTTACAATTACGTGTGATACTCAATTATAAGAATTAGAAAAATGATTTAAAAAAAAAATGATTGATTTTTCAAAAATTGAAATATTTGCAAGCTTGCAAGTAAAGTTAGTTTACATTTGAAAATCAGTTACAAAATTAGACATTCTGAATTTCAAAATTGTTAATAATTTTGAGTTATGCAAAGTGTTTTGTAAAGCAAGAAAGCTATATTATAATCTCTTGTCGATAGATTGAGTCTTTTAACTTTACTATTTTTACAAGCGTATACAAAAATGCACATTTTTTTCAATGAGAATTATCCAAACTAAGCAACACAATAGTAATTTTTTCTCCTTGATTGAAAGTTTGCTCCCTAAGATCAAACTCATGCATCTATCCTTGCACTTGTGAATAGTCCTACAAAAGCCACTGTATACAGTTCATGCTTCAAAAACTCATCTTTCTATAGTTGACACTTTGGTAGATGAGCAAATTTTCATTAATTCTCTATTTCTCTCAAAATTAATTCTTATTTCTCTCAAATCAGAAAGAGTAATAACACTTGAAAGACTTTAGTTATATTGGTGACTAACAATCCTATTGATGTCTTGAAATCATGTATGGAAAGGTAGGTAGCTGCTTCAATGAACTAACAATCCTAATTGTTTTTTGGCAGAACTTGCGTACACAATGGAAGTGAATGAGAAGTGCGATGTATATAGTTTTGGGGTGTTGCATTGGAAGTGATTATGGGGAGCATCCCGGTGATCTAATCTCCTCTTTATCGTCATCCTCGTCCTCATCATCAACATCAACTGCCAAGGGATATTTTTGAAGGACGTCTTGGACCAACGCCTCCCACCTCCGAGGAATCAAGTGGCAAGGCAAGTAGTTGTTTGTTTGCGAACTAGCATTTGCATGTTTACACAGCCACCCAC